TCATTAACTGTGTGACTCTGAGTAGGTCACTTAACCCCAATTGCCTCACCAAAAGGAAAAAAAAAGAGAGAGATTATTGCACAATAATGATCAAAATTATTTTGTACTGGTTAAAAAATAGAAACTTCATCAGTAAGACAGGTCCAGAAACAACCAACATAACATAATAGTAAAGAGACCCAAAGTCTCCCAACTACTGGAGAAAAGACATTATTTAACAAAAAAATGGCTTTTAAAACTGGAAAGCAGTATGGCAGAAATCGGGTTTAGACCAACATCTCACACAATATACCACAATAATTTCCAAATGGATCTAGATATAAAAGGGCATATCCTAAACAAGAGGAGCATGGAAGTATGTGCTTTTTGCACCTATGAACAGAGTGAGAATTCTCGACAAAACAGGGGATAGAGAGGGTAACAGGAGACAAAATTGGCAATTTTGAGTATGTAAAAATAAACTTTTGTATAAACAAAACCAATGCAGTTGAAATTAGAAAATAAGCAGTTAACTAGGGAAAAATCTTTGCAACAAGTTTCTTGGATAAAAGTTTGAAATCCAAGCTATATAGGAATTATCAAATATGTAAGAACAACAGCCACCCTCCAGGCACTAAATGGTCACAGGATTTAAACAGGCATTTCTCAAAAGATGAAAAGCAAGCTCTCAATAATCATTTAAAAATGCTATAGATTATTAATAATTATAGAAATGTAAATTAAAACAAATCTGAGGTTCATATACCATCATATTGACAATGATAAACAAAAAGGAAAAAAACAATTGTTGGAGGGGATGTGGCCAAACAGGCATACTATTGTACTATTAGTGTAGCTGTGAATTGGTATAGCATTCTAGAAAGCAATTTGGAGCTATAGAGCCAAAGTCACTAAACTCTGCACACCCTTTGACCCACCATTATCTGTCTTAGGCATATATCCTAAAGGTATCAAAGAAAGAAGGAAAGAACCTATATGTATAAACATATTCATTGTAGCACCTTTTTCTTATATCAAAGAACTGGAAAATAAGGGGATGCCTCTTCTCTAAGGGGAATGGCTGAGCAAATTATGGTAGCTGAGAATAATGGACTATTATTGCCCTGTAAAATGATAGAAGTGATAGATTCAGAGAAACCTGTGAAGTCCTGTATGAACTGATACAGAGTGAAATGAACAAAACCAAGAGCACAATTTATGCGATGATTACAACATTGTAAAGAAAGACAAAAGAGTTTAAAACTCTGATTAATATAGTAATAAATCACAACTACACAGGATAGGTGATGATGTTTCCCACTTATTGACAGAGAGGTGACAGACCAGAGATGCAGGATGGACATATGTATCTTGGAAATTAGATATGTATCAGCGAAATTTGCAGCAAAGATTCCCCCCAGTTGTTTTCCTTTTAATCTTAGTTTCATTAGCTTTATTTGTTTTTTTAAATTTTTAAAAATTTTTTTATTTTTTTTTTAGGCAATTGGGGTTAAGTGACTTGCCCAGGATCACATAGCTAGTAAGCGTCAAATGTTTGGTCTGAGGGCAGATTTGAACTCAGGTCCTCCTGACTTGAGGGCCTGTAGTCTATCCATTGTGCCATCTAGCTGCCCCTCATTAGATTTATTTGTACAAAAGTTTAAATTTTACATAATTAAAACTATCCATTTTATCTCTTGTGATTCTCTTTATCCTTTAATTAAATACTTGCTATGTGCCAGGTACTGGGGACACAAAAAAGACAAAAACCTTCCCTTCCTTTAAGAAGATCACTTCTATGACAAAGATTAACAATTAGAAAGAAAAAGAAAATACAGGTGGATGAGCTCTTTAAGGGACCATATAAAAGGCAAAGTTAGGAGTCCCAGAACTGAACACTGGGGAAAACCCATAATTTACCAGAAAAGGATAAAAGGGTAAAAGAGAAAGAAGTTGGGAGGAAAACTGGAAGACTTTCTCAGTAAGGAAATTGAGGTTGGCAAATTAATCAAGGAGGAGAGAAGGGCCTACAATGTCAAAGGCAACAACTGAGAATCATGAAGATTTGTTCCTTGGATTTTGCCAGAATCTTGTAGGCCTTGGTTTTTTCTAAAAAAAATCCCCCAAAACATTCTGCTGTTACACAGAAATCTGGATGGGCCTTCTTCCACATGGTAGGTCTGCAAATAGATGGCTTTTACACACTCTCCTATGTCTCCAGACTAAACATCCCCATTTCTATCAAATTCTCCTCTAACGAATAATCATTCATGCAATATCTATGCCACAGAGTTGTTATGAAGGTCAAATGAGGTAAAATACGTAAAGCTCTATGTAAATGTCAGTTATTATTATTGGCAAGTAATTTAGGGCTAGAAGGAACTTTTTATATTTGTAACATACCTTGGCTGAGAGTGTTATTTTATGGCTCTATCTCCCTAAAAGGGAGAAGGAGTTGGAGGGATTAAGGAAAAGTGGGAGTTTTAAAAGATGGACTGAGTATAAAAGTGGTTGGGGTAATGTCACTTGCCTAGTGGCACCTGGGCATCCTTCTGCTCCAGCTTCTTGGATAAGACTCAGAAATCTAGGCCATTTATGTTTTTTAGAAATAAATCCCCATCCTTTGTACCTGCAGGTGTGAAAGGGTACAAAGCTGAGCAGCAAACGAGATCACAGGGAACTTTTGGATAAGAGATTAATGCCCAATATCCTTGGCCTCATACCATCCTACTTGCTCAAGCTGAGCCCACCCACACAGGAGGTAGAAACCAGCTAGAGGTTCTCTGAGGTCCTGATAGAACCTGTAGAGGTTCTACAAAAACCAAAATGCTAAAACCTCATTAGTTCTCTGTTTTACATTTCTGGACTGCTCTATTAATGTTCCTTTAACTAAAGATTCATCTTTCTACTGGATATCCACAATTTATTGAACAAAGAAAACCCTGGAATGCACAAACTGAATCCTGAAATATTATCTCCAGGTCTACAGTGACTGGGGTACCTTGCTTCCCATTATGGAATTTTGTCTTAACTCCATTCATTCATCTATCTAGAACATGTCTTCCTAATATAATTTCCTCCCTGTGTCCCCCAACCCTCCTTAGCCTTCAATATACGCAGATTTTCTGTGTCTGCTTTCAGGAGACTATGTAGGAGTTCTGAAGGGCAGGCTCTGGACGTGTATTACTTGTTTGCCAAGAGTCTTCTGATTGTCCACTGAGGCATAAGAGATGATAATACAGGGTGCCACATATGGTAGAAGAAGAAGTACCTTCTGGCTGGTGACCCTCTTGGATGCATTCTTCTGATGATGTATTTTCAGCAAGAGATGAAGAAGAAAGATGGTCCTTCTCCATCTCAACTTAATAACAGCAAGGGCCACTGCTCCCCACATGCAGTGAGCATTCAACTGGCTAGAATTATATCAAGACCCCTGGTTACCACTGTCTCTGTTGGGTGGTTCGGGCTCTTGAATGTAGAAGACAAAGTCAACTTCACTTCCCCAAATCTCTGTACCAACAGACAATTCCAGAAACGTGTAAAAAAGCAGTAAGCATCTTCAACATCATTTAGGTGTTGCATCCCATGGCCTCCCAGATGGCATTATCCTCCTATCATGAAAGAAGCACATCTAATCAGAAGAAAACTACATTTTCCATGAGACCCTGGGTCCCAAAACTTTGGCCTGATTGAACAAAGGTAAGACCATACTTCCTATGGTGTCATGTGGCCAGTGTGCGAACAAGGAGAAAAACAGACAGTGATGGCAATGTCCAATGTAGGAAGAGGAACAACGGCTGTGTAGTTATATCAGCTGTTCCACTTGGTTTTATTTGAGAGACCCTTTTTTGTCTCTCAACCTCATACATGGAAGCCCTGATTCTACCTCTCATGGCGGATAGGCAAGAGGAGTACCTCGTTCATTATATCTTCAACCCAAGGAGTGAAAAGGACTGCACCTAGTACACTTAGACCATTAAGGGTGTGGTCTCAAAGAGTAGACATGGTTGTTAGCACATCATATTCAGTCCCTGGAACTGGTAGAGGACTTCTGCCTAAGGCTACTCCTTAAGGATCGGAAGGCATTGATGGTCTACAAGCTCATGGTCAGATAGAAGCAATTGAATCAAGAGGGACCTTGATGGATTCAGCAAAATCCTGGCACTGTCAGCATTAGACAGAGGTAGGAAATGCAAACAAATGCTATAAAAAAACCTGATTAGAGAAGCAGGTTGAGCCACAGCCCTGGAATTCCCTACATCTTGGCTTCTTAATTTAGTACACATTTCCCTGTCCTGAATCCCTGCCCGAGCAACCAGCCATCCTGTGCTTCTCAGCTCCTTGGATTTTGGTATTCTGGTACCAACTTTCCATGTCCTCTCCTTTGCAATTTGGACCCTGCCTCCTCTGCTCTTCTTGGCAACTACCTTCTCCTCACTTCATTCAGAGATTTGCTCAATCACTGGCACACGTTAGTCCATCCTGGAACAGGGTACAATAGATAACAATACTTGTAATATCTGCAGGGGCTTTGTGAGAAAAGCATTTGGTTCAAGGGCTTTATAAATAGCCACCTGTTATTGTCAGGGATACGTAATTATGGCTTAGGTTCATCCTAGTTTAGCATTTTTGTTTTTGTTTTCTTCTTTTAAGGACTCCTATTTGCTAAGGGACATTGTTGACACTTCTCATTGTTTACTCTGAATAGGGAGAAGAAACTCAGAGAAGAAGGATCCAATTACCCATAGAGTGACTCCCATTCCGAACAGGGACAAGAAATTCAGAGAAGAATTCAGCTACCCAAGAAATTTTGATGTATAAGCCCACTAAGTTCCTCCTAGTGTAGCCTGTGTCTTAGTTGAATGATTTCTTTCTTTGTTGGATTCGTGTTATTGATGAAGATCAAACGTCCAAAATTTAAAGAGGCCTGTAAGTTTTCTTCTCCTGTTACAAAACAAAAGAGGGGCCCGCTAGTTATATATTTCAACTGAAAAAGCCTCTATCACCACATTTCCTGTTTGCAACTGAACTAAGTGCACACAAAGGATTTTAAGAAATAGGCATGAAAAACTGAGTTGCAGATGAAGATCAGGCACATTGCACTGTTATTTGTAGTGCTAGGGAGCAGTATCATTTAGCAGAAAGCTATTTGTGGGCATTTGTTTCTTTTAACTACTTACATTTTACTTATGGGGGTGAACAAATCTGTCTGAGAAAACAAGGATGTCAGGTAAGTGATGCTTTAAAGTCTATTTCCTTACTCTGTGTAGGCTTACAATAAATGCGTTTAACAGACCAGGGTGAATCCAAGTTCTTAAAGCAAGAAACTCATGACTCAGTATCTAAATCTCTTGCTGGAAATGATGTGAAACTGGGAAGAAAAACTGATGGAATTAGTAAATGTATTGAAGATTCTACTGCGGTGCATAGTTGTTGGGAAAGCAATGACATCGAAGGCCTTGCTGTACCTATAGCATCAAGCTTCTTATGGGTTCCTGGATGATACCATAACATTGCTTTTGGCTTAAAAATATAAATCTCATCATGAGGAGCTCCTCGTTGACTGTGAATTTTTTTTTCCTTTTGAAATAGTCATTGTAACTTGTGACCAATGAACCTTGTTCTAATTCATAGCAGTTTAAGCAAAGGAATTTTCCGAAGGAGTCAATTCAATCCCTCTGAAAATTTTGCTAACAGTAGCTCAAGTCCACTTGCCCACTTAATGGATTATTTCTGAGGGTTGTGCCTATTGAGTTCATTTTATGACTCTCTTTAACAATGATGGCATATTTCTCTTTTTTTAATTTGCAAGGGCAGAATTCTAAATCAGTTGTTTTAAAATTATAATACACTAGAAACATAAACTGGCAGATGATTTTCACGCTTCTGGGTTAGCAGGCATGAAAAGTAGCTCTAAGAGAAATGTTGTTACTTAATGGAAACTAATTTGATTATCTATCTACAGTTGACAGGATTTTTTTAAAATTAAAGTTGGATTGACAGAGAAATGGCTGTCTTTACAGTACCTTATTGTAAAATTTGGGTTGAGAATTTGGTCGTGGGTTCTGTGTCATCTTCTGACCTTGGTGTGTCGTCTGTAGCTTCTGCAAAATTACCCCCCAAATTCCCTTTTAATTTCTTATGTGACCTGTGACATATAGAAACCATGTCGGGGAGCGTTGCAATGTGGAAGGGATAACTGTACTATAAACATGTTTGTACATGTGGGCCTTTTTTCTATTTTTTGAACTCTTTGGGATTGTAAATTTATGTATCACTTTAATTTTCTCAGTATTTTTTAGGGCATTTGTGAATTAAGCATCCCTGCAAAGCATTGGCAACAAGGAAGGAGTATATAATCCCTAATTTATAGAAGAGGGCACAGAAACTGGCTTTGGCACTCAGACTAAAACAATGAATTAAGGAAAGACATCCAGAATTCAGAGTCACCAGATTGGAGACTTTTGCAAACCTTAAAGTGCTATATAGATGCTATTATTGTTAATGAAGATTATTTCAATCACTGAGATACTGAGGAGAAAGGGAACTAAAATCTAGACTAACCAAAATGCAAGTAAGAAGAGAGAACTTTTATCCAAAAATTTCAGAAACTACTAGGAATTTTGAAAGCATCTTGATCTAAAGGTGGGTTTTGATGTCTCAGCCACACAGTTTTCTCAATGTCCTCACAATTCTGTCACCTCCATCACAGACATTCTTTGAACACACTTGTTCTGATCCAATTTCTTTACCTACCTCTGTTCTCTGAGGGGAAATTTCTACCTCCTGTTAAGTACAATTAGGACTATGGTTTAGATTCCAATGTCCTTAATGTTGAAAAGGATTTGTTCCTGCTGAAATGAATCCAGAATCCAGAAAGATTTGAGTAAGGTAGGTCATTTGCCAAGTTTTCCTTAAACTGGCTTCTAACTTTCATTGTTCCTTTCTGTTTTATGAGGTAATATTACTCACAATTGTCTACTACTCTTCTCTGTAGATTTTATATGCAAGTTTATATCTTAAATTGCTGTTGACCTCAGATGTCATATCTCTCTTGGCAAGGGAGTCATGTTAGCTGAGTAAGGTGGTTTTTAATAGATTTTATCCTCCTTATTATGGAAACTGATTTACATAGTTTAAACATCTATGAAAATACTGTAATTAGTGTCGATATCCTTCTCTCCATCCATGTTCCAATCGTAAAGTTCTTTAATGACCCTAAACTTTTCCTTGAAATGAGGACCCATTTAAAAATGCCAAAAGCCTAGTGGTGTTGGGTAACTATGACGCATGGAATATTACAGTCTTTGAAAAATTGAAAATTAGTATCAGTCATAAGGCATAGACTGCAACACATCATAAATAAGGAATTATAAAGGATGAGTGGAACTTACAATTAAAAACATATACAGAAAAAAAGAGTGTTGGTCTCATGGTGAGAGCAAGGGATAGCTGATGGATGGTGTTTGTATTTGAATAGTATATTTACAATGTCAGGCGAAAGCAAGGAAGAGATCTGTTGTTTTAGGAGACCCTTCAATGATGAATTTATGGGAGAACATGACCAAGAATTGCAAATAATGGGCTGACACAGATGAATGTTTCCTCTAATGGTCTTCATCATCAGAGGAAATGTCTTCATTGATGAAATCACAGATCACTTTGAGTAGTTGAGTGAGTTTTTAAGATCACTAATCTAAATTAAGAGATTGCTTTAGTCTGGGAAAGAAGACTGGTCATGACCTGGAGAATTTTACTAAAGTGACTAAGTAATAGAGTATGAACATCTCTCTGATGCCATATGATTCTTCAACTTTGTTATCAACAAATTTCTTAGTGAAAGTGTAGTTCAATCATGAAACATTTGATACAAGAAAGATGTATTTGCGGGGCAGCTAGGTGGCGCAGTGGATAGAGCACCAGCCCTGAAGTCAGGAGGACCTGAGTTCACATCTGGCCTCAGACCAAACACTTGACACTTACTAGCTGTGTGACCCTGGGCAAGTCACTTAACCCCAATTGCCTAAAAAAGAAAAAAAAAAGAAATATATATTTGCAATCTAGCTGATGAGGTAATGCCATAATTAAGGATGCATAGAGTTTTATCTGTGTATAGTCTATTGTTTTTGTGCCTCTCCCATTAGCGTTTGGTATATTGTTCTGCACATGCAATTGGTACCCATATGACCCCTCTGGAACTTGGTTGTCTTATCATTGATCAAGAAGCTTCAATTAAGCTCTTACGATGTGCCGGGCTCAGTGCTAAGCAGTGGAGATAAAAAGACAAAAACGAAATAGTTTCTATCTTCAAGGAACTTATATTCTAATGGGGGAAACAACATGAAAATTTATAGGTATATACATAGCGTATACAAAATTACTACAAGGTAGTTTGGGGAGGGATAACACTAGCATCTGAGGGATCAGGAAAGACTTCACTTAGATGCTGGTATTTGAGCTGAGTTTTGAAGGAAACTAGAGATTTCAGGTGGTAGAGGGGAGGAGGGAGTACATTCCAGGCATAAGGTACCTACCGCAAAGGTATAGAAACTGGATATAGAGTGTCATTTATACAGAACAGGGAACAGGTCAACACAGCTAGATTGTAGAATGCAAGGAGGGAAATAATGGGTAAAAAGACAGTCCAGTCTGGAGGGGCCGGGTTGTGAAGAAATTTAAATGTCAAAGAGCAGACTTTATATCGGATCATAGAGGCAATAGGGTATCTCTGCAGTTTATTTAATAGAGGGAGGTGATATGGTCAGATGTGTGCTTTAGGAAATTCACTTTGACTGCTGTGTGGAAGATGGATAATAATGCTTTAACACTTGGGAGGCAGGTGTTAGAAAAGATCATAAAATCTTAGGTTTTAGATCTTCAAGATGGACTAGATCAGAAGTTTCTAACCTTTTTTTTTTGGGTTAAATGACTTGCCCAGGGTCACACAGCTAGTAAGTGTCAAGTATTTAGTCTGAGGTTGGATTTGAACTCAGGTCCTCCTGATTTCAGGGCCGGTGCTCTATCCACTGTGCCACCTAGCTGCCTCTAAGTTTTTTTTTTTTTAAATAAACCTTCCCATGACCCTCTATTAAACATGAAAGGAAATAAATTCTTTTATTTACATGTATTTACCATGTATAAAGGGCAGCTAGGTGGTGAAGTAGATAGAGTATCCATCTTCCTGAATTCAATCTGGCCTAAGACTCTTACTAGTTGTGTGACCCTGGGCTAGTCATTTAATCCTGTTTGCTTCAGTTCCTCATCTGTAAAATGAGCTGGAGAAGGAAATGGTGAACCATTACAGTATCTCTGCCAAGAAAACCCTAAATGGGGTAACAAAGAGACAGACATGACTGAAAAACGACTGAACAGCAATACTATGTATATGCATATAAGAAATAAAATAAAGAGGTTACTTAATTTTTTCATAAAGATAACTTTATTTAGTATATAAGGAGGGAGAGGAAGAGAATAAGCATTTCTATAGCACCTATTATGTGTAGGTGTTCTGTTAAGGCCAACTGTGAAGGGAAGTCCTTATCCATAAGAACACAGCATTCAGTAATCAGCCTTTGGTTTTTACTAATGTATTCTTAGCACCATGCTACCCCACAGAAAGTGTGGCTGCTGACAACTTAGCCCTAGTCTAGATGCTTGGTTTATGCCTAATGAGGGACCACATGGGGTTCCCGGTTGGGTTAGGAAGAATATGATGGTTCTTTGGATACTGACAAAGAGGATCTGGCAGTAGGTGGAGGATAATTAATCAATCACACTTTAATATGGCACAGGGAGTACAGAGGAAGATGTTGTGGGGAAGAGAATAGGGGAGAAAGAGGAGTATATGGAGTCACTTATGTAACAGATCAGAGTTGAGAGCACTCAGGCAGCATGATCAGAGAAGTGCTTGAAAGGCAGGATTTGGAAGCTTCATTCTTATAGTTTTTAGTTGTGGGGGGATGGACTAAATGTTATCATACCACCTTAGGCTTGCCTCATTAGTGTACTGATGTCCCCTTAAGATTGTCATATTAGTATATCATTTTCAGATTTTACTGCACATGCTGGTGCTTATCTTGCACCTGTAGACCAGGGCCATTTACTGGGATCTAATTGGCTTTCCCTAGTTTAGTATATAATCTATAGACGTATAAATGTGGTCTTAATTAACTTAGGATATAGTTTTAGCCAGTGATCTCCATGTTCCTCTTTTACATTTTTAGCTCCTGT